CTGAGCGATGAAGACAACGTGCTTCCCACTGAACTTTTTCTCTAATTCGCGGACCAGCCGGACTTGGATTTTCTGGAAGGATTTCAGTTGAGGAACAGGAACGAAGATTATAATAGCTTTCCGACCACCACCAACTTCAATTTCCTTGGCCGCCGTTATGTTCAGCTCTCGAAGCTGCGCTTTGAGGTCCGAGTTCATCTCTAGCTCGAGTAGCGCCTGGGAGATGCCGGACTCGAACTCGTCCGGCTTCTCGCCGTTGGGCTTCACAATCTTCGCGCTCGAGCTGAACATGGCGTTTCCAGGGTGAGTGCCGGCTTGGGAAGAGCGGGATGGCCCATTTTAGAAGGGGTGGTCAGGGAGGGCTTCAAAGAGGTGGTGACATTGGAGCTGACATCCGACGGCTAAGAAGGAGCTAACCTGCAAAGAGCAGGGAGAGGGCCATTCCAGGAAGAGGTCCCAGCCAGCACAGAGTCCCTGAGGTGAGAACATGCTTGGCATGTATGTAAAACCATGACAAGGGGTGTGGCTAGAATCCAGGGAATGAAAGGAAGGGGGAAGGGGCCAGATGGTGCAGGGCTTTACCAGACATGGGAAGGAGTTTGGGTTTTTATTTTGTTGTCATGGTGAGCCATGGAAAGGTCTTATGCAAGGGAGTGTTTTCTGTTTTAAAAAGATTGCTCTAACCCCTGAGTGGTTAATGGGTTGGAGGGGAAAGGAAAGAATCAAAAAGAAGTCACTGCGGTCCTCCGTGTAAGAAGTGACAGCCAAGAGGACCTGGTGGTGCCGGTGGAGGTGAAGTGAAGTGGATGGACCGGAGGGGTGTTTGGGTATGGAACGGGTCAGCTTGCTCTCAGACCGGAAGTGAGGGGCAAGGGAAATGGAGGGATTGAAGATGACTCAGGTTTCTGGCTTTCTCTGCCACACGGATGAAGATATGGTTACTGTAACAGGGATGACTCAGGGCACAGGTTCATCAAGGGAGACCTGGACTTCTGTTTTGACCTGGTAAAGTTTGACTCACCCATGGGGCATATGGAGGAGATGTCAAGTGTGAAGTTGGGTGAATGGCTGGAAGTCATCAGACACTCGGCTGGAAATGCAACTGGAGAATCTCAGCACAGGGCTGGATGTGAGCACCCAGGGAGAGGGAGAGGGTCTAGGCCCGAGCCCTGAGAAGCTCTGGTCTATAAGTGGGAATGACCAGCGGGGAGCAGGAAAGCCAAGAGGAAGGGTGCCACAGGAGCCTGAGGTAACTCCTCAGAGGCCTGGTAGCAGAGGAGTGAGGGCTGCCCACTTGGTTTGGTGACTTGGAGGAGGTTGCTGATGGTGACAAGTCATTTCAGTTATTCAGTGAGGCCAAAGGGCAGATTAGAATGGGTGAAGGAGTGAACTGCAGCTGAGGAGGCTTGAGATGACATCCGGGGACAACTGTCTAGAGAAGTTTTGCCGTCAAACTGGGCAGAGAAATGCAGAAGTAGTAGCTTCTTTGGGTTTCCATGAAAGTAAAATATGTTCTCTGCATTATTTCTAAACCTCTCTCCTGCTCTGATATACCCAGGCCATGACACTGAAATACCGAAAATATTCCCATGATAAAGTAAACCGTGGATGACATGGAGTCCCCAATATATAACTGTGACTCCACTCCTTTTCCTCCCTTTCAGGAATGCTTCTAGGAATGTAAATCAGCCAGAGTGATGTCAGGATAAGCATCTGCTACTTTTCAGGAAAAAACATACTCCAACTTCTACACGTTAAATTACACACAGCCAAATTATTTGCAGTACAACTTACAACTGACCGCATCACACATGCTGGGGGCATGTTGGCTGAGAAGTGTGGTTCCAGACCATGATTGTGTGCCATTCATTCATTCATCCATTCATTCATTCATCAAATATTTCCTGAGCACTTGCTGTTGTCAGGAGCTTGGCTCTGGGTGCTGGGAGCCGTGGAGAATAAGGCAGCCATGGCCTCTTCTCTCACAGAACTGCAGCCAGGCGGGGAGCACAGATGTGTAGAGTAAGTGAGTTCAAGTGCAGTGGGCTTATAGCTGGGGGAGCATAGTGTTCTCAGGGGGAGTGTCACCGGGGTCCTGGCCTGGTCCACAGGCTCTGTAAGAGTTACTCTGAAGAGGTGCAGATGAATAAGCTAAGGGGTGATTAATGAGGCCTGTGTTGGAGGTGGTATGGACAGTGGCCTGGCAGTGCTGGAGGGAGCCCCTGTCCACAGGTCCACACCAAGGCCAGCCTGTCCGGGAAGTCAGGGAGGCAGGCGGGGGCCAGGTGTGCAGGGCGTTGGGGCTCCTGCCAGGGGTTTATCTTTATCAGGAAAACAACATGAAGAGTGTTAAGTGTGTGCTGAGGGGAGAGGGGTACGTGTGTCAGGCTTGTTTTAAAAGAGCAGTCAGGTGTCGGGAACGAGGTGTGGTACAAGGTGGTACAGGTGAGTGTCACTGTATGCAGACATGGGGACCACATTAATTCCCTTCCAACCCTATTTGACCAGACATGGCTGAGGATTTGAAAAGTGAGTGGTGGAGAGAGGGTACAGTCAGCCTCCTGCTTCTGTGTCCTGTCCCCGAAGAAGCCTGGTCTAGTTCCCCTCTCCCCCTCTCTCCCCCCTCCCCTCTAGGAAAACCCAACAGGCTGATGCTGGGGCCAGTTCAGCAGATAAGGGCTTCTGTGCAGAAGAACACCAGGGTATACCCACAGGGACACAATGTGGGGACACAGGATGTAGAAATGACAGAAATGGAAGCCGGAAGGGCCATCCTAAGGGACTGACAGCAGTGGGTATGGAGTGGAGCGTGGGAGTACAGAGATGTGGGTGGGTGCAGACCTGGGATGGGCAGTGCAGAAATCCACTCACCTCGGGGAGACCCTCTTAAGGAATGCTGATTCAGCAAGTCTGAGGCGTGAACCAGGAGCCCCCATTTTGAGGACCCCTTCCTCCCACCACTGAGGTGGTTCTCTTAGGTGTCTCGGACAACCTTCCTTTTGAGAATGCCTTAGTGCTGGTGGGCTTCTTGGCCTTGTATCCTCAGCTCTCTCAGCCGTCTCTCACCACGTTGGGCCTGAAAGCTTGTTTCCGTCCTGCATGAAGATGTGGATAACCACATCCCCGGCTGGGCTGAACCCGGGGCGGCGGGGCTGTCGGGCGGGCGGCACAGCAGCGTGCGGCCGCCAGGGGTCGCCAGAGGCCTCAGCTCATGCGCTCGGGCTCCTCCGCCCGCCGCCGCCGCCGCGCCCGAGCTAGCCAGAGAGCGAGCGGAGCCAGAGCGCTGCGGACCCACAAAGCGGCCGGACGCGCGGCGGCGGGCGGCAGGAGCGCAGGGGAGAGAGCGGCCCTTCAGCCTTCCCCGCGACCGCGCCACAGGAGCTCGAGCAACTCGGACGCGGGGACCGGGGCCGGCCCCCAAGGTACGTGTCCGCGGAACCCCGCGCCCCAACTTGGCGTAGTTGGTAGCTCCCCGCGACCACAGGGGTGTTGGCAAGGGTCAGGAGCCTGGGGGTATCTCCTCGCGCCCCTCTTGCGGAGGAGGCAGGGTGGGCCAGCAGAGACCACCCCTCAGCTGCGGGTACGCCCCCCCCTATCCCCCGCTCCATTCTGCCTGAGCCTGGACTGCTGCTTGGAGTCCTGTGCTCCCCCTCCCTCCCTCAGTGCTCTGGGCATAGTCTAAGGGAGCGCGGCTTGCGGATCCAGGTCTCCCCTTAATTAGAGAAGGGTACTGAAGCCCCCGACCCGAGAGTAGTGGTCTCTGGGGCATCCAGAAAATAGGTGACAGGGGTCCTCTATAGTTTGATAGCAGACCCTAATTTGTGACGCAGCCTCATTTGTAACTGAGCCTCCCCCCCACCCCCCTTCCGTGAGAGGGGTCCCTAGGTCTCTAGATCCGCGACAGGGGCCCCAGGTGTGCGAGGCATGACCCTGTCCCCGCCGTGAGATCCCCGCCGTGAGATCCCCTGCCGCTATAGCTGGGGCCGGTGGCGGAGGCGCTCAGACCGTGGTGCCCGGCGAGGGGCTCGCCGTCGCCCTGCCCTCCTCTCCCGGCTCACTGCCCTGCGTGCCCCCTACCCCGCAGATGCCAGCGATCGCGGTGCTCGCGGCGGCCGCCGCGGCGTGGTGCTTCCTCCAGGTGGAGAGCCGACACCTGGATGCGCTCGCCGGAGGCGCGGGCCCCAACAATGACCAGTGGCTGAGCACCGTCTCCCAGTACGACCGGGACAAGTACTGGAACCGCTTTCGAGACGTGAGTACTGCCGCCGCCCGGCCCCGCGGGCAGGGGCGCCTCTGTGAGGGGGGCCTCTGAGGAGGGGTGGGGCGGGGACTGGTGCAGACCCCACGGCGGCTTGTTGGCCCCTTGCTCCTGGGCTGCGTCTTGCCTGAGAAGAACTTTAAAGAGAATTTCAAAGGCTCGATGCTCTTTGCCGGTTACCTGTGGTGTAGGTGTGGTTATCTGTAGGACTGGGGGAGGTGACTGCACTAAACATGGCATGAACAGCGAGCAGCGGCTGAGAGAGCGGCTCCGCAGCTTCTGAGTTCTCATGTGTCTGGTCGTCTTTGCCAGCCCCCTAGAGAACCTCCCTGGGGCAGCAGCGATTGGAACCATCTGTAGGATGTGCCCGAGGATCTCTGTTGCAGAGGTTAGGTTTGGGGGCGAGCCAGTTGTTCCAGGAGGTTTGGGGGGTCATAGCAATGGGTCTGATCAAATGTTGGGAGAGGGGAGTGTGGTGGTTTTGACCCTTGGCGTCTTTAGGGGAAGGGGAAGATGGCAGGCAGCTCATGGAGCTGGTTCCCTACCCCAAGGAGGAGCCTGGGTGGCAGAGGACTGCTCCTGGCGAGCCCCGGGAGGGGAGAAAGCTGTTCCTGGCCACCCAGGGGCACATGTGCTGTCTGCGTCTGCCCCAAGGCTGGCTGCTGCTCCCCAGGTATGCCCCAGGGGACACGGGGCAATAGCACCGGCGCAGCCTTCCAGCAGATGGCAGCCCCTCCGTGTGCTGCCAGCTGTTTCAGAGGCTGCCCCAGGTGGCCGGGGCCGGGCACCAAGGGAAGGAGGAAAGAAGTTTTATGACACTTAACATGAGGAATTCCTGTCCATGAGAGAGACCCGTCTGTACTCTAGAGCAGGGTACAGGGTTCTTGGAGGTGGGAGATGTGTGGGAGTCACCCTCCTCCCCTGGATTCCTCTCAGCCCCATTCTGGGTACCCCCAGCCCTTGCACGGGGAGAGTCCGAGGAATCCAAAGAATCCAGATGTTTTCTGGTACTTTCTAAAGAGATCTATCTCTCTGGGTCCCACTTCAGAGGAGCAGCTGCGCCCATAGCCTTGAGTGGGGGCTTATTTCTCTCACTTCCCCCTCTGTTCCTTTCCCCTCTCCCTCTAGATGACTGTGGGCTGCTTCTCTTTCACTAATGCTCCACAGCTACATGGGGTCTTAATTTTGTAGCAGATAGTCTCCCTGCCCTCCCCGCCACCATGAGATCCCTGCCATCCCCCTTACCCCCATCCCTGACCTGCCCGGTTAACTGTCTTCAGTTACCTTTCTGACCAGCTCTGAGGAGCCTGCACTGACTGCGGCGGAAAAAGATGCCCCAATTGCCCAACATATGCCCCAAAGAAGCTTCCACTCATAGACACACATAGAGGAGAGATCATTTTGCTTTTTTGATTTCTTTTCTCATTACATTTTAGATAAGAGTTGAGAAACAGGGCAGATGTTGAACTCTGTTAGAGAAGGGATAATTGGGCCAGCTGTGGGAGAGAAGGGGCCCCTCTGTGGGGGGCTTGGTTCCTGTGACAGCTGGGCCCCATTGAGAGCAAGCGTGGTCTCCGGGGTGTGGAAAGGTTTGCTGTGCTTCCTTGGGCCTGTTTAAGGTTTTCTAGTCTCAATGTACCATAAGCATGACATTTTTATTTCCCATTCATCTTTATATTTTTAAAAATTGCACTTTTCTTCCTTTCTCATCTTTCTTGCAAATGGTGATTTTTTTTTTTAATCCTTGCATCAGTGTTTTCCAAGCCTGCCTGGTGATGAAGCTCACCTGGGATGCTTGTTAAACTGCAGCCCCCAGCCTCCTCCCTGGAGATTCTGGCTCCATATTTCTGAGATGAGTGCTGGAAATCCATATTTTAAACAAACATTCTAAGTAATTCTTAAGATGGTTAGGAAATACTGCCTTGAATGTTGTAAAAATGGCTAAAGCATAACAAAAAAGAGAAAAGCTTCTGTGTTCCATGTGCTACTTTTTTTGTTTCTGGAGTAATTTTAGGTATGAAGCTAACATTTTAAGCAGCATTTTTTTTTTGTAACATGATCATTTAATCCATCATACCATTGAAAACATCTCAAAATGTTTAAAAAATCCTAAACATCTTTAATCATCCACCATTTTATGTGCTTCATGGGGTCTTCTGATGCTAGCTGTGGTGGCTCAGACATAATTTAATGCCATTAACCTCTTTAAGGGTGTCGTGAAACTCTAACTAGATAATCTTTTAGGCCAAGTCCAAGTGTTTCTGTTGGGTCATTCACTTGGAATAACCACAAAGCTGTGGTCCCCTGGGGCCAGAGAGTAAAACATCGCTTCCTATAAGAAGCCAGCTGATGCGTGGACAATGGACAAGGCCCCAGCTAGGGCAGGTGCTCAGCCAGCCTGAAAGCTTTTACTGAGCCAGGCCTTGCTCGAGGGTGACAAAACTCAGCTTCTCTGCTATTGTTGCAGTTGTGTTGTTGAAGCCACTGGTGACTTTGGAAGACTGCCCATGGACTATTGTTATGATGCTTGTCAGTGTTTGAACTTCATTGTGAAAGAAACCTTCTTGCCTTTCCCCTGATTTGTCACTTTTTGCACTTGGAGGAGAGAGATTTAGAAGTGATTTTTGAGCTTGTGAAACTCAAAGCTAAGAGCTCCTTTTAGAGAGCTGATGATACCCATTGGTGTTGTTACTGGGCTAGCTGAAATGGAAATGATGGCCGGCTGTATGTTCCATGCCCCCCTGCCTGTTGAGTGTGCTGTGACATTGCCAGAGATGACCTGATAGCCTGCTTATCACTTTGAAGTGGTCCCATATTGATCCAGGCACACAAATAATCACTCTCTTTTGTAGAAGTAAACATTTCAGAGCTACTCCATGTCTTGTTACCTGGAGTGATGGATGCAAGAGAAACATACCATTCAGATGTTATTGCTCCTTAAATCTATTGGTGGTCTGTTAGCTTGGTCAGCATTCTTCTTCTTCTTCTTCTTCTTCTTCTTCTTCTTCTTTTTTTAAAATTAATGTAATTTATTTTCCAATCATGGAGTTCATCATTGTTTTTATAAAGACTAGCAATTGGGATGTTTGGGCCAGATGGAAACCCAGACTTTTGCACGAATATAGTATTAAGGAGAAGATGAAGAAGGACAGATGTTTGTATTATAATAAGTTGTACAATAATTTCTCACTTTAAACTGTCACGCATTTAACTTCTCTGTGGTTTAAGGTTGAGGGGTCAAGATGCCACAGCCATTCTTCTGATTTTTTTCTGCATCTTACGTGGCTCTCCATAACCATTCTTGTAAGGGAAATTTCCTCTGTTCATTCTTCCATTCGTTTGTACATTCATTCATTCCAACAAATACTCGACTATCTATCATGTGCTACAGTGGTTTGGCTCTCAGGGTGAGCAAGATAAGTAACAGGACCTCTTGTCTACTGGATGAAATCCTTTAACATACGCCATCACACATTTCTTCCTTATCCTGTTTTCTTTTTTTAAATAAGTTTTTTTTTCTTTAAAAAATTTTTTTATTGGGGAACAGTATGTTTTTCCAGGATCCATCAGCTCCAAGTCAAGTAGTTGTTTCAATCTAGTTGTGGAGGGCGCAGCTCACTGGCCCATGTGGGGATTGAACTGGCAACCTTGGTGTTATGAGCACTGCACTCTAACTAACTGAGCTAACCAGCTGCCCCTGTTTTCTTTTTTCTTATAAAGGTAATATGGGCTGGATATAATTTAAAAATTAAAACATTACAGAAATAGTTAATACCTAACATTAACGAAGCACTTTGTGTGCCAGACATTGTTTAAGGTACTTTACATATATTATCTTATTTAATTCACAACAATTTAGGAGAGAAATACCATTGTTATCCCCAGCTTACTGGGAGGTTAAGTCTCGTGCCTGGAGCTGTAGCACCGGGTAGTGGAGGAGGCTGGCCTGGGACCAGGCAGTCTGACTCTAGACCAGCGGTTCTCAACCTGTGGGTCGCAACCCCTTTGGGGGTCGAACGACCCTTTCACAGGGGTCGCCTAAGACCATCGGAAAACAAAAAGATATTTACATGACGATTCATAACAGTAGCAAAATTACAGTTATAGAGTAGCAAGAAAAATAATTTTATGGTTGGGGGTCACCACAACATGAGGAACTGTATTAAGGAGTTGCGGCATTAAGAAGGTTGAGAACCGCTGCTCTAGACCCTCACTGTGTACGGCAGCCAGGCAGGAGTGGATTTTGGGTGTGAGCCTCCACTGATATCACATTGCAAGTCTCTCCAGCTTTATATCTGGCGGCAATCAGTGAAAAACCTTTGGTTGAGAGCAAGTGGAATGGGAAGCCAGGTGGACACAGTTTATTGTTAGGGGATCACACCAGGGCTTGTCTTCTGCTAATAAAGAGTCTCTGATTTGATTAAAATAATATTGTTGCTTACACCAAACATGACATTTTCTTTCTTTTGCACACACGCTACTAGCCCTGACATTTAATTCCAGGATAATTACCTTTAGTAGGCCCAAAGACTCAGAGATGTTGCCTTGGCTGGCATTTATCTTCTTCCAGGGTGACCCGAGTTTGTAATTCTAATGAGACCACCAGGCCCAGTCTGCAGTCTCTCTCCTTCTGGCGCACGCTCGGTGGGATTTGGTGGTCTCTGTAGCAGAACTGGGGTGTCAGTGAGCATCCGATCTGCTCACTGGATCTTACCAGCTCAGCTATAATGAGTTTCAAGGGCAAGTGGGGCTTATTGACGGAACAGTGGCTGGCGCAGATGGCGGCGTTGGTGACAAGAGAGGTGGCATGGCTTCGTGGATCAGTCATTAATCTGTCACCACAGAAAGTCGGTTGGTAATAGAGAGTAGCAGAAAATCATTTTGATTAAACATGTTCAAGGAGACTGAAATGAGTTTGTGATCCTGACTCTTTTTAATGAACCCATCTCTTAAATCCCCTGTATGAGATGACCAAGGATGGAAGTAATTGTTCC